ATAGTAAACTGGGTAAAAGACAATCATCCCCAAAACAAGATAATTATTATCTCATGTGGAGACACAATCCCAATCCATGATGAAGAAACAGCAAGAACCCTAAGAATCACTTCTAAGTGTGTTCATTGAAACACTTAGAAATAGTGAATTCTGGCTGAGGATTAATAGTAGTTAATTCCAGAAATGCCAGTAAGAGAAGCTGATAAATATTTTAGTCAATCTAAAATACAATATAAATATAAAAATAAGTTCATTCTTTTTGGCATAAGGTACTGCACTTGTGTTCTTTCTATGTAGACAATGATGTCAGTGTTGAGAAACAAAATTCCTTATTGGGCCAGGTGGTTTCTCACATATTAATATGAGTCTGAAACTATTGTCACATTACAATCATTTTAGTTTCTGATCTCTCTACTAGCATATGACCTCATTCTCTTATATCCTGGTGGAAATGTATTAGCTCTGTTTAATTCCCAGGAACATTTAAAACAAATATCTTTGCTATATTTGTAATAAATATCTCTGCTAATTCTAACTGAGAAAATTACACATATTAAATAATCTAATTAAATGAAAGTATTTCTGGAAGATGAATAAAAATGACTTACTGGATTACATAGAATTATAGTGAGAATGCTAGTATGAATTAAACGAATTTTATGGGAAAGAACCTATCCTGGGCCTTGACAGAAAGTTGACACTAAGTAGAATAGTTACATTTGAAGTATCTTGCATCATATTTCCCAAGAACCACATGAAGACAAGATCTGACACACAATTAATTAGGTGTCTTCTAGTAAGGGGGAAGAAGGATTGACAAATTCAGGGTAGTCAATTTCTTGGCAAGAGTAGAGTCAAAATATTAAAAATGAAGGTTCTCTAATAAAGGCACACACCCAGTTGATTTGGAGGAGTCAGAGAAAATAAGTTTAAAGTTTGAAGGACAATTATGGAGAATGAATATTATAAAATAAACATTACTTAGTCACAACTTTACCAGGCTTGCATTTGTGACTACATGTGTGAGAGGATAGTGCACACATAACTTAGGAGAGTGTACTTACTTTTACTCAAACATTTAGGAAAGTTTTGGTAATTTATACACAAAAAGTAAACATGTTTTATGTATTAAATTTTATGAGCTGTCACATATGCATACATCTATGAATCCATCAGAACAATCAAGGCAACAAATAAACATAGCCATCACTTCTAAAAGTTTCTTTGTATTTCTTTTCAGCTTTCATTTTTGTTATTTCTGTCTTTATTTGCTTTAGAGAAAACATTTACATAATAATGCACTTAAGTTTATTCAGTGAACAAGACAGTTCCTAACTATAGGAACTATGTTGTACAATAGGTCTCTAAACTCATATTACAGATTAAAATTCCATATTCATTGAACAAATCTCCACTTCCACATGCCTCCAGTCTCTGGTAGCCAGTGCTTACAACTTTCTACTTCTATCAGTATATCTAGTTCAAACATTTAAGGTAAGTGGGTCATAGACTCTTTGTCCTTCTGTATTTGACTCATTTCCCATTGTAGAGCATGTTCCAGCTGCATGAATATGGGTGTATATTTTAAAATGAAACAATTCCCAACAGATGTCATAGATTTTTATTCATTTATCTGTTGATGGACGCTTAAATGTTTCTACACTATGGTTATTGAGATTCAAGCTGCGATAAACATGTAAGTGTAGGTATTTCTTTGAGTTTCTTCTATTCTTTCTTTTTTTTTTTTTTTTGCGGAACCAGGGATTGAACTCAGGCCCTGCGCTTGCCAGGGAATCGCTTATTCCAATGAGCCATTTCTCCGGCCCTTATTCTTCTATTCTTTGTGTATATATCCAGAAATGGATTGCTAGATCATATATCAGTTCTATCATTGGTATTAGTGAGGACCTTTGTACTATTTTCTACAGTGCTGCATACGATATTAATGAATGGTTTCTGATTTCTCTACATCCTTACCCGCACACACATTCACAAACAGCCTTTATTAGCAATCTTAATGTGTATGAAGTGATATCTTAGTGATGTTTTCTTTGCATTTCCCTTTGCTTGGAGAAATGTCTGTTCAAGAGTTATATTGGATCACTTGTTTTTATCCATTGATTTGTTTGGGCTCTATGTCAAGCTGTAGATATATAATGACATTTCTCCTTACAAAAGTAGGTTTTTTTTTTTTTTTTTTTTCTCAGAACCGGGGATTGAGCTCAGGCCCTTGTGCTTGCCAGGGAACCACTTATTCTACTGAGCCATCTCCCCACCCCCCAAAAAAATGTAGTTTCATTAATTTATTTCCACAAATTTTTCCTATGAATTTTATGTGTATAAAGTTCTGATCTAGAAATGTTACTCAGTGAGATAGATTTTTGGATAGTACAAAGAACTGGAGTGCTAAGTGACACCTTGAACTGGTTATAGAGTTGAATATATTTCATATCATAAATGTCAAAATATTGTAAGTATGAAATTATAAATATGAAACGGCTATTTCTATAACTGTCAGGTTATGTTAAAATACACTAGAAGTTATCATGTTAGGTTAATAAAAACAAAGATATAATGAAAAACTAAATCAAATGAAAAACAATAAACTCTTGTATAAATGATAAGAATTTAAATGGATTTTTAATTTTTTTGAAACAGGTTTCATGTCATTCATGCTGGCCTTGAATTCACTATGTAGCCTAGAATGGTCTCCATCCTCTGGTGATATTCCTTCATCAGCATTCCAAGGGCTAGGATTATAGGAATGGAACACCACGTCTGGCTATGAGGTGTAATTTTCCTGGCATTGCATTGTGAAACTATTTTCTGTAATTTTTTTCCCAAATTTTCTCTAGTCTTAAAACATTGGAATGCAAGATAATTTGAAACTAATATGAAATATGTAATTACAATGCCAAGCATCATATAATGTGATACAGCTATAAGTAATGGAAATTTGAAAGAGCATAGGAGCATAGTTTTACATCTGGATAGATAAATACAGGTATCCTTAAAGAACTAACAGCTAAGGGAATCCTGAAGGACTAATAGACATTAGCTAGTCAAAAGACTACTCTGATCAGAGGAGAGAGCAAGTAGAAAATATGAAGACTTAACAAATATTCAATGTTCTTGTACTTCAAGACACTTTATGAAGAAAATTATTAAGAAAATTTCATGTGATACAATGGAAAATCAAAGAATATACTTTCCTTAAAGAGATGTGTTTTCCAAGAAGTTAAAGTACAAAGAATAACACCAGAAGAAGGTCTTGATGGGAGGAGGAAATGTCTTCACTTAGAAGATATGGAAATTGATTTTTCAGTGAAATATTGAATATGCAATATATGGACTATTGACATCTTCTCAAAGCCCTGGAATCCATCTTTTGAAGATACCACAGTATGACTTTTATACTTAACAATGCTTCTTATAGGGAATAAATATGAAATTTGAATATATGCTATCAGTGATAAATCAGTGGTGCTAGGTCTGTGGAGATTATAGAACAAGAAAATTTAAAAACAGAAAAGAAATCTGACATTAGAATACTGAGGAACATCAATATTTCACATATAAATAGAAACTAGAGAAAGCAAAAAGACAAGAAGAATAGAAGTATAAATCTAGGAGAATAATTGGAATGATATAAGGTAACCCATTTAAAAAAATGACTGATATTTTTTAGCTCTTATGGCAATGCCAAGCAAGATAAAGCTAAATGCGCCATTTCCTTCAACAGAAATGAAGTTCTCTTAGATTTCAGAAAAGTTACAGGGCGTTAAAAGTGAACATTGCAATGTAGATAATTGAAACTTAGTTAACCTGATGCTAAGCTTAAAAAGAGACACTAATAACTTGAATGAATTGAAAACACTGAAAGTGTGAGATAGATAGATAGATAGATAGATAGATAGATAGATAGATAGATGATAGGTAGATAGATAGATAGATAGATAGATAGATAGATAGATAGATAGATTAGACTAGACCAGACTAGACTAGAATATCATTTAGTCATAAAGAATAGAACTTGTCATTTGCAGGAAAATAAATGTAATGAGATGGCTATATTGCATGAAATTGAAATAGACTCAGAAAGTTAAATGCTACTTGTCCTCTTGTGTGGAAGCTAAAAGTTTAATAATAGAATTGAAATAAAAGTACAAAAGAGACTATTAGATAACAAAAACTGAAGAAGCAAAAAGAGTGAAGAGAGCAAAAAAGTGCAACGAAATGTTAAAAATTATCAAAGCATGTTGCATGCATGAACAAATATGCTAAAACAAAACCCACACTGATTAAAAAAACTCATGAAAAATGAAAAAATTTGAGAAGACTATTATTAGCAAATGCTGATTATGTTCTGTGGCTTTAAAATGACTCCAATTAAATAACGAAATATAAAATAAATTTTTATGAAATTATTCCTAAAATATCCTCAGCATTAAATTTTATCACACTATAGGTAATATAGTACTGTACTCACCTATATTAGGATACAGTATCTGTCACTGGTCTATGGTTGTTTTCCAAGAGATATGCATCATCTCCTAAGATGAATCCTCAGATACAAGTAACGGAGACTTAGTTTTTAAATCCTGATATATATATCCTATATGCAGAGTTGGTTTTGAGCAAAGAAATTTAAACTACCCAGGTAATGACAGCATCTTTCTCTGGCCTGTTATTAATTCAATCCATACAATAAATTACAATAAAATACATTTATAAATTTTGAGACACAACAAATGATTAAAGAAAAAATGGATTCTTTTAAGATAACATGATGCTCTAAGAAATTCTGAACTGCTCATATATTTAAAATTCAGTAAGGCTATTGAAATAGTGGCCATATCATTTCGCACGTAAAGGGAGAAAATAACTATAGATTGGTTTGCACGACTTCTACTTGCACAGATTTTTGCTGTGGAATTTGAGTATGTATCATTTCAAAAAAATCTTGATTTTTACATGATGTTAAATATCAAAACTCAGTGATGAGAAATCACACAGAAATAACATTCATCTTACTGGGGCTGACAGATGACCCACAGCTACAAGTTCTGGTTTTTGTTTTTCTATTTTTCACATACATTTTGAGTGTAACTGGAAATTTGACCATAATTATCCTGACGCTGGTAGATTTACACCTTAAAACACCTATGTACTTTTTCCTGAGAAATTTTTCTTTGTTAGAAATTTTATTTACCTCTGTCTGTATTCCTAGATTCCTATATGGTTTATCAACTAGGGACAATACCATCACGTACAATGCTTGTATATGTCAAATGTTCTTGTTTATTTTCTTTGGGGCAGTAGAATTTTTTCTCCTAGCAGCAATGTCCTATGATCGTTACGTAGCCATTTGTAAACCACTTCACTACATGACCATCATGAACAATAGAGTGTGTACTTTATTAGTCCTCTCTTGTTGGGGAAGTGTCTTGGTGATTATGGTCCCACCCGCTGGCTTGATCTTCAAGCTTGAATGCTGTGTTTCCAATGCCATTGATCATTTTACCTGTGATGCAAGTCCCTTCCTAAAAATCATAAGCTCAGACACATGGGTAATAGAACAGATGGTCATAATTGGAGCAGTATTTGTACTGCTTATAACCCTAGTGTGTGTGGTACTATCCTACACATACATCATCAGGACAGTTCTGAGATTACAATCTGCACAGCAAAGGAAAAAGGCCTTTTCCACTTGCTCATCTCACATCATTGTGGTTTCCATTGCCTATGGTTGTTGCATCTTCATCTACATTAAGCCATCAGCAAAGGAACAGCTGGCCATAAATAAAGGAGTTGCACTTCTGGATACTGCTGTTGCACCCTTGTTAAATCCCTTCATTTACACCTTGCGGAACAAACAAGTGAAACAAGCTTTGAATGGCATTATGAAAAGGATTGCATTTCTCCCAAAGAAGTCTTGATGAATCAAGTGAAAAGACAAATTACAAAGAGATTTTACCAGCTTATTTCACTTTTTCCTTTCTACAGTTCTGTCAGATTAAATATCTTATAGACATTTTATATTTTACCTTCTCACTTTTATTAAAATCTTCATTCTTTCAACTCAAACACATATACAGTTTAAGACGAACACTAAATATGTGTTTTTATACATTTCTGTCTTTCTGTACAATTCTTAGTTTATTCCACATGTGTCCAGTTGAAGTTTGTTTATGCTGGCATCAGTCTTTTTGATGAGCTTTTATTTTTACCTTTTATTTCTGCAACATACTCAAGAAGTTTAATCAATTTGTCTTATTACAATCCCCCACAAGTTCCTTTTTATTGTCCTACCATGTTCCATGTCAACAGCTTTTGCCTATAAAAGGCAATTAGGTTGCATTGATTATAACATCTGTGTACTCTTTCTGGTTTTTAATGTTGTATATGGCTCCTAAGCACAGTGACCGAGGTATGATCCCCGGTGTGCCATGCTGGTCCCACCCATGGGGCGCGCTGAGATGGCAATTGAAACTGGACATGGTGGTGCATGCCTGTAATCTCAGCTCTTGGGAGGCTGAAAACAGGTGGATCACTAAAAGTCTGATCTACACAGTGAGACCCTGTAGAACTTGTAGACCCTGTCTTAAATAGAGAGAGAGAAAAAAAGATTGTATATGGCTCCCTTCCTTCCTTTCCAAATGACAAACTCTAAAACCATATTTATTTATTTATTTATTTACTTTTTCATAATTTTATTGATAAATAGCAATGAGACAGTTTCAAATCAAATCGCTAGGACAGTTTCAATAATTAACACACTGCATACATTCTTCTTAGTGGTAAATTGCTGTACAAGATGCGGACTTGAGATCCTATTTACAAACACCATTAGAACAAATCATTCTATTCATTAAGAGAATGTAACTATATATCTATCCTAACCACTTTGAATACACAGATAAAATGGACATTCATCCGTATACCCCTTTTTTGCTAAGTTCTGTTATTTGAATACTATAGGTGTGTATACTCAGCAAAATATTCTAAAAGAGTCCAGTAGCCCATAATATCTTTGGGTCTTCTGTTTAACTGGCAATATCAGAAATTGTTGACCTGAGTCCCCCACAGCTCAACATAACAGCATGGCTTTACTTCCTATGTTTCGTCTTCATACTTTTCTACTGGATGGTTAAGACCAAGGTAAAGAGGGACCTATGCAACAAGAATTGTACCTTTTGGGTCTGAGAAGGTCAGTGAAATCGCCTCAGGATTTATCCTGAGATCCTGTATCTCAGATTGTAGAACCTTGGTCAGTGTCAGGCATGTGGATGAGTCATGGCCATTGCTTGGCCAATGTGCTCTCTGTGAAAGCCTGAGAGAGTGTTTTCTCTCCATATGACTCTCCTTAGGCACACTCTACATCATCGATCACTTACCTCTTTGGAGGGTGGAGTGGGGCAGGTGCTGCGGAGTGGTGGGGGGCGTCCCAAGGGGTAGGAGAGGGTCTTGCCCCCACAGCGCCTGCGCTGGGACTGGTATTTGGTTTGGCCAACGTAGGGTAATAGGAAGCTCTCCCACACACCGGACCTGGGCTAGGCCTGGGTCTGCGGGTTCCCGGAAAGCAGCAGAAATTCTTACTGGGAGGGTGGGGTGGGGGAGGTGCTGCGGAGTGGTGGGTGGCGTCCCAAGGGGGTGGGAGAGGGTCTGGCCCATGCTGCGCCTAGGCTGGGACTGGTCCCACCGGCACAGGGTAGCAGGAAGCTCTCCCACACACTCACCGGACCTGGACTAGGACTCTCTAAAACCATATTTAAAGATGAGGCAAAAACATAAAATAGTAGTTGATCATTTATTAAGTCATTTTGTTTATTTTTTATATTTTAATAATTTTATTGAGTATGAAGTAGCAATGAGATAGTTTTAAAACAGGTTAGTAGTACAGTTACAATTATTAATACATTGCATGTTGTTGTTTTTGTAGTAGTTGTTCCTAGTACAAGATGCAGACATGATATCTTGTCTAAACACTATTCATTCAAAAACTTCTGATTGAACTAAGAAAGTAGCCGTATATTTATTGTTTTCTATATATTAGCCGCACACACAAAAAGAAAAGCTTGAGTAGCACCCTACACTTATTTTCTTTTCTAGAGGAAAATACTAG